GCAATGCGTCACTGTGACGCTGACAAAGCATTTCTCAAGCAAACAAAAAGATAAAATCTAAACACACAAAGTGGAAGGGGCTATTTATAGAGTTCATACATACACCAATGAGGAAGAGTGATGAACGCACGACTGTCACAATCAACCTGCTACCTAATTCATGTGCACACACCGTGACCGTTCTGTTTCTAAGAGATGAATCCAAACGCAAAAGTTGGCGCGGTCCTCTTATTGGCACCATTACCACATGCGACTGAATTGATTGTGCCTCATTACTGTGGAAAATGACAATGCCAGTCATGCATCATAAACAAGGAAGAGCATAAATTCTGAACTGAAAGTGAGTCCGTCTGACTCTGCGTCATGCTTGAAAAGACCGGACAGCTAAATAAGACAGAGCGGAATGTAATCTGAGGAGATTGGTGACCGTTCAGAGGGCCAGTACAGGGAGTCTTGGTCTCATTGCATTCCAGCTCTTCGATTATGTGTGCTGATTTGGTCCGACAGTTAAATGGATGTAGTACATCATGCTTTGACTGTTGAGCAGTACATTAACAAGGGCTGACATCTAAGGGACCTTCCCAGAGCCTATGGCTCGTAGCAGGACCCTGAGTGTAAAGTGAGACTCTACCTTGTTTTATCAAAAACGTGGTGTTGATATATTTTTTAGACTGCTGACTCTATAGAACAGTGGCATGGAAAACTAACTTTATCGTGCTCCGAGAGCCCTCTAGTGGTCGGGAGCATTTCTGTTGTGTTGCGGCTTTATTTCGTTGTGTTGTGGCTTATTTTCGTTGTGTTGTGGCTTAATTTCGTTGTGTTGTGCACTACTGGGCCACCGTACATTACACCCCTAGAGGAGGACGTGGGAATGCAGTGTAGTCTCTACCACAAATATCAGCAGTAAAAAAAAAATGCTGGAATATCCTTTGTTGAAAGGATTAGCATAAATACTCCACTACCACTATGCTTGGTATATAGCCTGGAATGTTCTAAAAATAAAAGCAGAAAGAGTGAAGGACCAAGCTAATAACTGGTTGCTTACTGTGGCGAGCAGGACGAGGCCGAGGGCCGTGGGAGAACGGCGCGAGGCCGGTGACGTGATTGCTGATGAGCGACACCTGCGCGACGCACCAGTCTCGTATCTCTCACGGAGGAGCGGAAGCGATGACAGAGAAGGACAAGAGAGACCAGGCCTGGACTATTTTATTTAATGTTTTGTTTTATTATGTGTGGCGGGAGTCGACCTTGATGGACTACCGTCTTTACTTTCGTTTTTGTATTTGTTTAATTATTTATTATTCAAATTGTTCGCCGGTCTGCCTCCTTCTTCCTAACATCGAACATTGTTACACTTACCTTGCTTACCCATGACTGAATCTCAAAGGTATTTGTAGTGTTGAAGTGACCTTGTTTGGAAAAATGAGTGACTCTAAAACATGCTTGTTTAGGCGGCAATGTCTCATTCCAGGCAGTGGACCATCGCCAACAAAGGCAAATAAACTGTTAAACCAAATTGTTATGTTTGACATTATACAACGGCAGTTAACCAAGGTGCCAATCTTTTGACATTTAACAACAGGTCATCGACCACTAACAAATAAGTAGATCAACAACCGCAGGTTTAAAACACAGCAAACCACAAGTTGTAAAAGAAAATTGTGCTCTAACAGAAGTATTTCAATTTCATCTAGTCTTGACTTGCTTGTACGAGAACCTCGCTTGGTTAACCAGACCCTACAGATCACTAGAAGCAGAAGATAAAGAACGTTAAGGATTGCTTTTCATCCACATGACTGCTGCCAGAGCCAAACATTTGCCAGTTAGTCCAGGTTTCCTGTTCAAATGTCAGATATGGCAAATTCCCTAAAGACCTCACAATGTACACACTTGGTATAATCTCTTTCAACGTTTCGATATCTAGTCCAGCTTTAGGTGCTCAGAGGTGAAAAACAACTCATTGCCACTAGCAACTCATTCAGCAAGAAACAATGATAAATATTTAGCCTTTTTCTCAGGGGTGAATTCCATTCAATTGGGACACAATATTACATGATCCCCTCAGTAATCCAGGTTCATTTCCAGTGCTCCTGCACAAAATCCAGCATAAAGAGTTTCCATGGCCCATAAAGAAGAGATTGTCGTTGTTTATGCTGAATTTGGAATTTGAAATGGAAAACCGCCAAGAAGACCGGACATGGAGGCTTTTATCTACAAACGGGTCGTGAGGAGTTTGAGACTCGGCCAGATGTCAAACAATAGCATTTGCGTTTATTAGAGCTGCGCTGGCCCAAACACTCTGAAATTAAAACAAACTTCTCAGTCACCCCAGCAAAATACACGTAGCAAAAGAACATTTATAAAATGTTCTGGCTGATGATATGAACTTTCAGATCTGTAATACTAAACAAACATGTTATGGATTAAAGTTACAGTCGGATATACACAGCTGAACCAGCTTCAAGGTGTCTGCAACGGATTGCTCATGAATTACTTGGAGCCGGAGTTCCAGGCAGCCTTTATACAGGTTAACGGCCCCCCATAACAATGACAGTGGGAAACAAAGTTTAGGTTTCAGGGAGAGAGCTGGGAGGCTCCACAAGAGTCTGATAACTCACAGCAAGCTGCTAAACGCACACGGTCGAACAATGAGCCCTATCAATTTGAAGCCACGGCAGGAAGTACAGGGAAACAACCTCCAGAAAATCCTGCAACTCTTTTCTCAAAGCTGTTCAGGGACGAATTGCAAGAGCATTTTCACAAAACTAAGCAGACACTGGACATGCTTGATATGTCCAAGAGGTGTGAGACATATGGTTGGACACCATACCAAGCATAAATAATAGTTTCAGGTGATGGGACTCTGGTTGAATGGGTTTAGACAGCTTGTCATGGCCATTAACTGCCTTCACACTTACACACTAAAAGCGCTCAAACTGCATGACATGCTCCCTCGCTTATGCTCACTTCAACCCGAGAGAATAAAAAGAAAGTGTCAAAATGATAAATAATTTACCCAGCCTCACACACATTCTTGCAGTAACAACCCCAGCAAGACCATGGTGCATGAGTGTGTATACTTAAACACTCATCTCTCAAATACACCCTAACATTAAGTCTTGGCCTGTGCCCACTTCCCAAACTACTTTACCTTGGCACAGTGCAAGAGGCTAATGACAGGATGTCTTCAGCCAAAGCAGACATACTGGTCAGCCTCCAACAGTAACCATCCACGGGGCAGTGGAGCTGGGTGGTATGCAGACATTCACAGCTCTAGTGTGTACACCAATGGCACAATACACTAACAAGCCTCGTTGCTTATGTGTGGGAATGTGATGGATTGAAAGGGGAGAAACTTATGAGGCAGTTGGCATGTTTTGGAGGAATTGTTATGGTGAACTGATCAGATGACGAAGTGTCTTAAACTAGAGGAACAGCCGTACCATGTTCTCCCTACATTGCATGATGTAGAATGTTACTCTGCAACCCACAAAATCATTATATGGAGAAAATAAGTATAATATGATCTCAATCTGTTAGTCATCAGACTTGTTGGCTTCTAGTCTTGATTTATGTGAGTGTTGCTTAGAGGAGAACATGTATTGAGCTGATATTTCACATACTTACATAAGGCAGACATACAAGCTAAGCGATGGGAGTGACATTTAACGATGGATTTTAGATTACAGCTTTTTCTACTTAAGTTAACTTGGCAAGAGTTGTGTCTATATAAGGAAATGTGGTTGCAAAAATGCCAGTTTTGGACAGATGGACCAACAGATCACTTACAAAAGAGGTGTCATAGTATTACCATGTTTTTGGAGTATGATAAAAGTAAAGTAGTCAACTCAAAGTGTTCTAGTCACATGGTATGGCTAGGATAAGTTCTAGATAGCAAATGTAGTTGAAATAATGGCAACACATAGTAACAATGGATTGTTGTACAACTATTGTACTTGTCTCCTTTAACATATTTAGGATACTGTCCTAGTAAATATGGTTCCAAATAGGGTGACAGATCACTTACAGTCAGAAATGTATCCTGTATTACCGCTTTTTTTTAAATGGTGCCAAAGGCAACACCATGTTTTTTTGGAAACTAGCATGATGGTAATACTAGGATTTTAAGTACACAGCATATTAATGTAAATCTTTCAGTATCGTGGACAAGTAACCATTACAATGGTTTTATGGACATGGGTCCATTATAATAATATCATATTGTCTTTTTGTTTTTTTACTTAATTTACAAAACCTGTCTAACATGATGTCTACATAATTAATGCCAACTTCATGAAAATAAACCAACAGATCACTTACAAAAAAGTATGATGGTATTGCCACCCTTTTTCGTACAATGGTACAATTTAGTTACAAAACATATTTAGGATACTATTTATAAATATGGGTGCCAAAAGATCACTTACACAAAAGTACCAAGGTATGGTGGTAACACCATAGCATTCTTTAAAGTATACATGGCATATTAATTTGGCAATCCTTCAGTATTATGGTATAGGCCTACATCAAAGTATCATAGCCAAGTAACCATTACCCTGGTTTTATGGAAATTATACTATGGTAATACCATGTTTTTAAACTTAATCGGCTAAAAAGCTGGCTACATGAATAAATGTGGTTCCAACTTGCAACAATGCCAACAAAAAGATCACTTGCAAAAAGGAACCATGGTATTGCTGCCTTTTTGTAAATTAGGTACCATGGTAAAAACATTCTTGTCTACTTTAGTTACAAAACATATTTAGGATACTGTCTATGGTTGCAACTCCAACATGGTTCTATAACACCATGGTAATATCATGTTTTTAATGCTTAATTTACATGCTGTTTACATACATAAATGTGGTTGAAAAAAAGCCAACTCAGTAGAAGTACCCTGGCATTATTATGTGTTTTTTGGAAGTATACTTGTAGTACCCTCTGATACCATATTGCTGCTGCTACCTGGAAGAAATGGTTAACTTTAAAAGTGAACTCACCTCAGTGGACGGTATGCTGACAACACCTGTTGATCTCCTCTTCTCTCTTAACTTCCTTTTCTCGATCTGTCCTTTGCCCTTTCTGGCGCTGGGTCCTGAGCTCTTCTTCTCTTTGCTCTTGCTGTGTGTTGGACTCTCCTTATCGCTGTCATCCACACCAGCGGGGCTGGGGCTGGGGCTGGGGCTCGAGCTCTCCGCCTGCGGGACTCCGCTCACTTTCTCCGGCGTCTTCTTCAAGCTTCCCCCGGGGGGCTCGGGTGACTTTGACTCGTCCTCCGGCCGCTTCAAAGCGGATAAAGAGGAGGACCGGGCCACCGGATAGGAGGACGAAGGGGAGACGCAGTTGACCGAGCTGCCGTTGTTGTTTAACTCAGTAACGTTAGTTCTCCCGGTGGCGGCGGCGATGTCTCCAAGCATCTTCGCTCTCATCTTCTCGCGCTTTGCTTTCCATTCCTCCAGAAAGTCCGTTGCGCTGGTAGATTTAAATCCTCCCGTTGCCATGATTTCCTTTTGAAAATGTCTCGTGCGACCCAACTCACTTTGTAAACACACTATACAAATATTGCTTTTCAGATCCGCCACATTCCTCAGAAGTATTTAGAGATTGTTTTAAAATAAGTGTGCTTTTAAAGTTGACCCAAACTGTGATGAACTCACTTTAAAACATTCAAAAGCTGTCAAGTAAGTGCTGTCTCGAAAGAAAGTATCCGGTAAAGCTCACCTGCGCGCGCATGAACATTCGTCAGAAGTTCAGGTGAACTGATCGTTGGACTGAACTGGATTAGTTACAGCACGCGCACTCCAGCGCTGAGTCCTGCCCCTCTTCCGAAGAGTTTCCGAGCAGTCACGAAAATGAACGGAAATATCCGAAGGGAAATGATAGGGACTTGTCATTACTATTGGCACATTTAACATTCATTTCATATTTTTAATTTGCTTCAATAAAAATATTTAACTAGGGAAAGATGAAGTAGCCTATAAACCCACCTTATTTTTTGTCTCTTGACAATAGACGGGACAAAATCTAATGTCGACACTTTTGGATGAATGGCTTTGCTATTTTTTATTTTCTCTTTTAATCTGAATATCAAATTATCTAATTTTGTGTCTCTGGAAAATAGTGCTTATATTATGTCGAATATTTGTTAATGAGGGATGTGTAGAGACATTATTGTTTTTTGATTTGTGGAGTAAAAAGATAGAATTAGACCTTTGGGGTAAGATGGCCCCCTCAGAATTTATTTTTTATTTTTTATTTTTTATAAGTCAATGGCTACCGTCAACTGTCTGGTTGGTTACCAACACACTTTAAAATGTCTAATTTTGTTGGTTTTATTTTTGTGTGAACTATCCCTTTAAAGACATACAGACAGATGTTGCTCTGCGTGTAATGATGAGACACACTGGTTGGTGATGAGAATGGCCTCTTCTCTCCAAACAGGTCCCGAGAGAGCATGAGTCACTGTTCTACAGAGCTCGAGTGTTTGTGACCTGAAGACTCTCAGAGATGAAGGAATTCAATGTCTTAGATAACAGAGATGCATAGAGTCATCTCTGCATGCAGCCTGTCTATCATCAAATTGTTCATAAACTGGCATATCATAATTTTCGACACATATCAGAGATTGTCTAACATTGCCACTAAGTGGATACTGCTGTTCAAAATGAATGCATTATGATAGTAAAGAAATAAAACTCAAAAAACATTCCTTGTTCTTGTGAAATGTTTTGAGGGGGACGTGTTGTGTAACATATGTAAGCGATTGTCTTGTTTATTTTTTAGGGACTTTATCATGTCCCTAAAAAAGGGCAAAGATGTCTCCATAGTTCCTGTCATCTTTATTTGCATGAACCATGGGAGTATGAGAAGCTTATTGTATTCTCTGTTCATAAAGGGAAAAATGTACATCCATACAATGCCGTTCAAAAGTTTGAGGTCAGGTCAAAAGTGACAGCAAAGACACTTATATGGTTACAATAGATTTTAAACAAAATATTTTAAATGAATGCTGTTGAACTTTCCATTCATCAAAGAATCCTGAAAAAATGTATCATGGTTTCTAGAATATATATATATATATATGTGTGTGTGTGTGTGTGTGTGACCTTGGACCACAAAAGCAGTCACATGGGTACATTTTTCAAAATTGAGATTTATACATCCCCTGAAAGCTGAATAAATAATCTTTTCATTGATGTATTGTTTGTTAGGATAGGGCAATATTTGTCAGAGACACAACTACGTATATGAAAATCTGGAATCTGAGGGTGCAAAAAAATCGAAACATTGAGAAAATCGCCTTTAAAGTTGTCCATTTATGTTTGCGATTGTGCTGCATTCACTCACAAAAATAAAAGTTTTATATATTTACGGTAGATAATTGACTAAATATCTTCATGGAACATGATCTTTACTTAATACCCTAATGATTTTTGGCATAAAAGAAAAATCGATAATTTTGATTATCGATAATTATTTGATTAAATACAATGTATTGTTCAAAAATAACCGTGCTGCTTGTGACTGGTTTTGTGATCCAGGGTCACATATATAGATGTGTGTGTGTGTTATTTATGTTATATATATATATTGTTTCTTGAGCAGCAAATCAGCATTATTTCTGAATGATCATGTGACACCGAAGACTGAAGTAATGATGCTGAAAATTCAGCTTTGCATCACAGGAATAAATTACATTTTAAAATATATTAAAATAGAAAACATTTTAAATTGTAACAATATTTCACAATATTACTGTTTTACTTTATTTGATAGTAAGAGACATTAAAACAGGCTCCATCACCAGGGCCCTATTTTGTGACCCAGCTGTGGAAAGTCCCTTAGACATTCTTTTGATTCCTAAAGAAATGCATTCCATCAGGATTTAGGCACTCTCCACGGGCCATATTTAAGAGAACTCAAGACTAAAGTCAGTGAGGAATTTGTTGTTTATTTTTGCAGAAAATGACTTGATGAGTAAGCAGTGGTGAGTCACTATACACTCAAACCTTACAGCTTATATACAATATAAACCTATACATCACACCACTGAGGAATTTTGTCCTTGAATTTGCAAAGAATTCTTTTAAAACAGCTGGTGAATGTCTTAGTTCTCTGAAGGTTTACATAGAGGTGTTATGGCTGAATTACTCCTAATAGAAAATAGCTTTTCGTTTAAGATCTTTCTTTTCTGTGCACGCTGACAGAGATAATTGGGAGAAATCTGTAGGGGAAACAATAAGGCTATAAATATCCTGTGATGTACAGGCTGAGGTCCCGCTATTGCATTTTTAGAATGTTTCTGTGAGCTTTGGGGAAACCTTCGCAGCACAAACACTCATCTGTCACTCACTCCTTTGACTCTGGCTCCAGCACAAACTTCCCTTTTAAGAAAGTTCCACTTAGCATACCTAAAATGCATTTTGTAAAGCAGCAGATAAGTGGAGAGTTACTCCCACTTTGAGAATTAAATTTAGTTTGCTTTCTTATCAGTCGAGGTCTTTTTTAAAAAGCTGTCTGATATGTTTGCTTCACTGCGGGTGAGAATGTGCTGTCTATCTGAAAGAGCCCTTTTAGGAGATATTGAAGTCACACCTTCAGTGACGATGCTGTCTTTGAACTGACTCGTCCCTTAATGGATCCCGCAGTGAAAAGAAAAAAATGAGAAATGAGAACAAATTTGGAACTGGTTCATTGTCAATATTTGTGATACTTTTAACTCATTTATTCCATTATTTTAGACTAGAAATAATGACTTTGCAGTCTATGAAACATCGGATTGACAGACATTTTTCTGTGCCCTGACATGAGTTCATTTCGATTTCAACTGAAAATCACACCGGATTAATATAACAATCAAAAGTTATACACTTACAGAAATCTGCTGTTACTTCAGGGTGATTTTTCATATATAGCTGCATTACAGTTACTAATACTTACAAGGAGAAAACAAAGAAGAAGAAGAAAAAAAGAAAGGTAGGCCTACAGTGGCTCTTTTTGGACACTTAAGTCAGATTTAAAACGATTGAACGTCATTGCATTAGAAATAAATACCCAATATGTAATATTTAAATAATTAATTGTTTGCTTGAAAAGTGCTACACTTCTTCAACTTACTGATAACTTATTGATCATATCATTTTTTACAGTGTAGCTTTTTTATAGTTCATTGTCTTAATGATCATAGCAACTTCTGGTCATTGTGACTCCCAACAACCTTATAATCATTACAAAGCACAGGCCTGGCCGTAACGTCCCCTGTCGGTCCTATAAAAGTGGACCATTACCATGCCATCTGTGCGCTGCCATCTGCTGAGATGGGTGAGGGGTGACAAAATGGGTCATTGTTCTGTGTGCCACCCATATTTAACCGGTCAGGGGAGCGTTTCCCAAAGCCAACGATGGTCACAAGTTCCGTCATTAGGCCTACACAATTGAACCGAACTTGCGACCTAATGCTGCTTTTGGGAAACGCACCCCCATCGGCTCATTTCTATGAGTTAATTTGAGTTAGCAGCACTAGGAGTAACTTTATGTCCCCAAACATCTCAGATGTCCCTTAATTGGTATGTTAAACTATTGTCAGCATGGTTGAACGGAGGCACGGGAATGATTTCTGTTAAAAAGTACCAGCTGTACTTATTTATTCACTTAATGTCAAGTATTAAGACTCAAAAACATAACATTGAAACTAAAGAAAGTCTGTTCTAGATACTTTTGACGAGTTTCGGGGGGGGGGGACATGTGATATTAGTCATGAACTGAAATGATTAAACGCTTCAGGCAAAACAATAACTGTCATCTTGCACAATACAAACTCCACCAACTGTGACATGTATTCTAGTCATCGTCACATGCTTGTGTTTTGAAGAAAGACATTTAATGTCACAATCAGAACCTGGCAGTGCAAATGAAGAAGATTAAATAAATATTCCAGGTTCAGTATTTGTGGCATAACGTTGATTATTTACCACACACACAAAAAAAATCTAAAATCTGTGAAAATGTAAAGTTTGTTAAAAGCACTTTTTAATACGTAGGCCTATTAGTTTAGTTATGAATTTGTTCCTGTCATTTTTACCATCTTTTAGGATTTTAGGTTGTACTGTCATGGCAACACAGAAAATGTATACACAGTAAAATCATATTGTCATGCATTTGTTTTTGTCTATTGAAGTAGCAAGAACTTTAACGTTTACAGACTTGCCCCGTTGACTTCCATTGTAAGTGCCTCCCTTTTTTAAAGGAGGGACAAGTCTTAGTCAATTATTTTAGTAGTAATCAACATTACGCCTCTAATGTTCCTTTACAGGAATGTTCATGCTGAAAATACCACAGAAAATAATTTTGCACTTTTCAAATGTAAGTCTGAGGCAACACATTGCACAGGGGGATAACATTAAAAATACTCAGTTTCGATAGTATAAAGAGAAAGACATTATGAATGGTTTAAACTTTAAAGCACTGATGTTAATTCTGTACAAAATAGGGTTTTTTTTAGCTGTAAAGTTGTCTAAATTGTTCTTTAAGACATATGAACTTTGTCTATCATTTGGTTGTGAATGGTTTTCTCCATATTAGAAAAGTTACAAGGTTAAACGTAAGATGGTCATGACATAAGTTTAACGATCGCACAGACAAAGTGAGCGATTCACACTAGTTTACACTATTATGTTTAAGATAAGTGGCGATACTTTCAAAACACTGTGTATTTTAAAGGTGTCATGAACGGAGAAATCTAATTTTTCCTCGGTCTATTGACATATGATGGCATTGTATT